TTAATGGAAGCAGACATACATTTAAGACAGAAGGTACTGACGAAATTTAACCCTTCTTATGCAGTAAAACAGTATTAACTGTTGTTTTTTATTAGTTCGATTTTCCATTTTATTAACCACAGGTTGATTTTCACTATTCCTACCGTCCTTGCAACTCCTAGTGTGGAACTGGTTTTCCCCATTTTTTATACGAATAAATTTCAAGTTATTGAGCACCAATACATTTTAATTATCTGTTCAATTAATAAGATTATGATTTATTTAACAAACTCGAAGTTCATATGCGGAAACCTGTTGAGTTTTCTGGCGGTATTTATATCTATATACAAAATGAAATAACATTTTTGTCCAATAAGTCTAAAATAAGGATTGGCGCAAGGGAAGCTTAGTCTAGTCCCACAGTAGTAGTCCCCAAAAGGCTTATTCGCTGTTAGACACATGCCCTAGCATGGTGTTGAGATGACGAAATCGCAAGATAAATCCGCGGTCACTTTACTTCGTGTCCACTTTGGCAAAGCTTTTTAATTAAAGAAATAATACCCTGCCGAGAATTCCGTCAGAGCTCGTTTCTGGCTTATTTTGGGTCAAAAAAATACAAAACGAAGACATTTTCTAAACAAACTGGCTTGGAAAAATTAATCTGTTATTAGCTCTGCACTGAAAGTTTGCGAAGACGCACACTCCGCCACATAAAAGGCCCACAAAACGGTTATTACACCCATCTCTGATAAGAAAGACCACTGCTATCTCGCATGTTATAGCCCTCAATTGATACCAAATGGGATTTCCTAGTTGTTTTGCAATAACTGCCTCTTTGTGGTGGACATTATTTTTGATTTTCACGGGTTAAAACCGCAGTACAATAAGACCCTGAAAATGTCTGCTTCTCAGTCTTCTGTTTGAAGAATTTGCCCGTTTTTTTTTGGAACCAACTAGTTAGAAAGTGCAGGTCTGGCAGCCGTAATGCGGTAATGTTTTCGCGGCTGGTAAGGTTTCTATACCCTTTGGTTTGTTAAGAATAATATCAAAAACAATAATATCATAAAAGACGATGATTTCTTACTATCTTTAATAATACTACATGTATCTCATGTCCTGTTCAGAGTCGTCATTGCATTTTGACAGTAAGACTTACTCCGGGTTCGTAAAACAAACAACTTGAATATTACGGTTGTAATGTTCGAAAGTATAAGTTTGTCGTGACGTGTGGGCTGAGCGCAAACTGCATCTGCTGATATAATCCTTGTTATTTGTACATTATTTCTACAACAACTTAGTATCAAATGCCCCTACAGTACTGGAAAGCACCGTCAAAAGAGAGAGTCTGTTTCATACTCTACTGAGTCCATGAGAGGGTCTTCAGTCGGACTTCCACATGGGCTAAGGTTCCAAACAGTTGACAAGGGAAAACCATATAGGCGGTCCGTTCCAACCACTTAAAAGTATTTCATTAATTACTGGATGAAATCACTGTCTCATAATGTCTGGCAGGTTGTAATAAGTTCACCTTGCATTGGCCTGTACTCAAGAGGAAACAAATAAAGTTCAGTCAGTCTTCTTTCATTTGCCAAAATGCCAACTATCTACGTCATCGTCGTAAACTTTGCCTGCGTTTATCCTGGCAACTACTTATCCTTCTTAATTAACAGATTTTCGGCCTGTACACTAGAAACCAAGCAGGTCAGTATCAGTATATTTGAGGGAAATGTACATAGGTTACCTTCGAATTCCCTATTTGTACATACGTGTAGTGCTATCAGAAAATTAGTATCTCAGATTATTGACGAAGCCACTTGACATTAGCCAATGAGGTAGAACATAGTAAAAAAGAGCAGGCAATGAAAAACAAATCCTTGGCAGTTTTTAGGCAAAAAAAACTGTCGTTGTTGAGCGTTTTTTGTAAAAACACTCTGCTGGCATGAGTGTAAGCATTTTGGTGCTTCTAGATATACTTAAACATGATGAGGACGTTTTAATCCGGACAGTGAGTACAGAACGAAGGTACCTTCGTTTCTTCCCATATGAAACAGTTTGTCCATCAAGAACGTATCAGACAGACTAATCTCCGTGGCTGTTGCTTCCTATAAGAAATTGTAGGACCACAGACTTAAAAACCTTCAGATTTAGAAAGCCACGAGCAGACCAGCTGCAAAGTCGGCTAAGATTTTTTTAAACTCTGTGTGTACACCCAATAGCTCCCTAGAATTGCATCACAGTAGTAACAAAGGTATTCCGTAGTCTACTTATTGGGTGCAGTCGTTGATGTAAACCAGAGTAAGTAAGGAATCACGAAATGAAAAGGGAAGGGTACTGCCCAAAACTTAGGTGGACGTCGAGGCACCAACGTGCCCTGTTTCCAATTTTTATGTAAGAAATTGTCCATGTCAGCAGATTCAGAGATTTTTTAGATAATACGTGTGTAGAATGCTTTTTAAACCATTCTTAAAATCATCAAGGATAATGTCAACACGACCATCCCCTCCTACCATGAGCGAGTTTACTGTTTGACCGAAGGTAACGAATTAAGGGCTACATACACAGCTTAAATAGCACGAAATACTGGCAGCGAACTTTGTACGGGGAGCGTTTATGTATTTTAAGAAATCATATTGCCTCTCCTGAATTTCGCCTACAACCACCATTCTCATACTACTACTACTTGACTTACTATGTAGTTTGAAGATGGGTGCGGTGAGGATGTCTGTTTCCAAACATGTTTTTTTCTTTAAATAATTAAATAATTAACTGTTAAATTAATCCTGCCAGCGGGGAGCACGGAAGTAGTCAGTTAATATGGAAATGGCACTTTTAATTCAGTAGTAAAGCGGATTGCCAAACGCTGCACTTCACACGCACGCATGCATGCGCACACACGCACAAAGTCTCGGCGAAAACAGAAACAGAGAGAGACCCGTTTGCGCGTACTCGTACGAGGTAAACAACCTGAGCTCACAGAGGCCACAACAGGCACCAAAGGAGGCCGTCTTA